GACTGAAGTTAAAAATGTGACTGAACCATTAAGTTTCAACCCACAGTTTTGGAATCAACACTTGTTGCGAGACCTGAAGTTCATGTATTTTGAATCCCTATCAGAAGATTCACTTATTGACTTAAAATGATGTAGTCTTGTTTAGTGAGGACGCTTATAAGATTCAGAGTCTTATGATCGCACTAAGCAACAATGCATACATGCTTTGGATGGGTTTCTCTCTCTTTAAATACAAAATTTCCTTTCAAGACTGTTGGGATGATCCAGAAAAATCCTCGCAAAAGACACGCAAGGATCAGGAAAAATTAAGAAGCATTTCATTCAATCAGCGTTCACTTGGAGTTTGGCCAGAAATGGATTACTCAATGCTCTAATGGTGGGAAGTAACCGTGAACTATGAAATCAATTATTTATAGAGAGTAAAGTAATTACATCCGTGATGAAATGGTATGATGGTCGAGAAATATCATCAATTGATTGGAAGTGAAAATAATGGTCACTGGGGTTTGTGTGGACATTATTTTTGGTGGGTTATTATGACAAAACCTCTAAATGTTATAAATAAGAAAAATAAAGGATTTCAATTTAATGGAAACATCGAAACAGATAAATGAAAATACGTACATACACACATAAACACCATCGATCTAATGGTGACGATAGCTGTTCAATGTGTCTATACAACAGTCTTACATTTCATTGATAAGTTGGAATTAACTTTAAATCGTGGAAATGTTTGTAAAATAACATCGATGATAAGGAGTACCCGTTAATTTGTTAGTGAATAGGACAAAGAGAGGTCCTATAATTGAACTTAATAGAACTTCACTTGTCACAGCAAACCAGTTCGATAAAACGGAGGAGACGCTAGTAGCTTTTGGTAATCTCTCAGTAAGGTAGTCGTGTAAGTAACTTGAGGAAGAAATCATGGATACCTACAGGTTTTAATTTGTAGAGTGTCCCACTTAATCCTCCCTCTTTTTACGATCGACATATCTTTCTTTCTATGTACTAATTCTTTCTTCCTGTACTATATCCTTATATGCAATCTTTCTTTTATATATTACCACCATTGAATTAACTACTTCTATGAATCCGGTGTTCATCTTGCTGTGCTAATGTGGTATGGCAACTCGTACCGATGCATATATGTGCCTGGTCCTACGTTGTAGCTGACTGACTGATTTCGAGTATACAATTGGTGAATTAGTGAACAATAGGATCTCTAGTGTCGTTAGAGGTAGGATAGGGACAAACGAAGACATGGGGTCAGTCCATGAAGACGCTGACTATTGAACTGGGCCATGTGGATAGGGACGGACTACTTGGTTATCGTCCACGTGATTATTGTAACCGATGGTTGGAGACTTTGGGTGACATGGATCAAAATGGTTTGCGATGGAGCAGGCACATTCACTCTTCGTCTTCTCTTAAATTGTAACTTTCTAAATTACCTTATGAATTTTTTATTCCACTAATCCATATTCTCTTCCCAAATCCTATCTAAGATGCTAAATCTTTTCAACCGCCGTTAATGTTGTTACTACATGTACTACTTTGGGATTTATTTTGACAATTTCTTCTCGCTGTGCTAATAGGGTGTAGCAACCTGGATCGATATACACATGTCAGGTTCGACATTACTTATGACTGATTAATCGGTGAATTCGTCAATTTAGAAATATGTTTACACAAACAATACAACTTAATGTTCACAAACAAAAACACCCTAAGAATGACAGTTAGAATATTAAGCAATGAAGTGAACACCACGGATACTTGAAGTGACATGCAATTCAATTAATAAAAATTATTATTCCAACGACTACCTCAAACATATATGGGTACAAGTGATGTATACAGATCGTAGTTAGTAGGGGTAAGGGACAAACAAAGGAAAAAACTTTATGACCACTGATACGTACACATATACAGAGTGAATAATTAAGTGCTGACATGAGAGTTGCCATATTATTAAAAGGAGCACAGTTACAGATAATGCTAGGAAACATACAACGTACATAAATCTATACAAGCAGACAGAGGAAGATCATTAATGGTTAGTTTACAGGAGAGGTGAGGAGAAGAAAAAATAGCCATAATGAGAACATTTATAACATTTGATCAGTTTCAAGTGGATCAATCAACTAACCTGCCAATATGTTTGTGATCTACAGAAATTTGAAAAAAATAATTTACACAAAACAAAACAAGCGAACAAACAAAAATGAAACTCAGTAGACCAATAAATACAAGAATATTATAAAAAAAAATATCTACCAGATACGTGTGCTTTGATGAATATCGACCCTCTGAAGACGACGATAATAACGGAAAAGATAGAAAAAATGGAGCATAAACTAAATATAAACTCTTTATTGGCCCAGACATTAATCTCTTTTCCGATTAGCGATATATATATATATATATATATATAAGCTGAAGTACAATGTCATGATTAATGTGGGCAAATATTTGTTCCAAACCTTGTCAATTATTTGTATTCACTCAAATTTCTGTGTAATTATTGAACTGTTATCGACTGATTACAGCGATCATTATAGGTTACTCTCGATATTTTCATTAGAAATGTAATATTATGGTGATATTACTTAATTTAGGATTCATTAAATTATTTCGGGGAGAATTTAAACCAATGAAATAAATTAATAAACTACTGAAGAAAATGAAAGCGTAGTAAACAGATATTTGAACTTTTTAAACACATATGACAACTTTCAATGTTATCCATATCGAGAGGATTAAGTGTGTGTCTAGTTAAGTAGAATTTAAGTGGAGATCAACAAGAGATTTAAATACGGGATCAGTTCAAGAAGTCAAGAAAATAGCCAAAGCTGCAGCTTTAGCACTTACATTAGCTGATATCTTAGCTGATGCCAATCGATTAGTCTAGATCGCTAATCGTCCCAGTCTATAAGAAAGAACCAAGGTCCTCCTGCGACAATCACAGTGCAATCAGTTTTACTAACAAAGTGTTAGAAATATTAAGTAGAGCTCGCGAAGAGCGAACCCGAGGAAATCAGACTGGTTTCATACCTGCACGTGAACGCATAGACCAAATATTCACCCTTCGACAGGTTCCAGATCTATTGAGTAATTATTTACTAAATATTTTATTTCCCAACAATCCTTTTTATAATACATGAGACTTAAGTCAATATCGAGGTAATCCGCACAGGATGCACATATGCCAATCAGAGATTGATTAATTGCAGTCATAAACGTCAATGGGAAGATTCAAACGACCAACACAAAGTGAAATAATCTTTCTTCACTATAAATTTTCTATCCCTTTTCTCACTCCTATTGGTGTTCATATTTATATTGTGTTTGTCTCTCCTACCACTGTATTGTGGTATGAAACAACGTACGGTGATGTAAATTTATCGAGTTACCGACTTGTTAATTTGTGGGTCCATCGATCAAACAAACTAATGACTTATTGATTTGTTGACCCGAAACGCCGGATCTGTTAATTTGTGATAAATGGAGGATAAATATAGAATTTCATAATATAGTGACAATTGTACTAAATGAACTAGTGTACACTGATTATAGTTTCACATAAACACAACTTACGTGGTTCAACAGTCTTGAGATCATTTACGACTGGACGAACTATAGTCATACCAGGACTACATGAAGAGGCTCGATAGTTGCTATGATTACAGTTAGAAGATAATGTAGCCATTGTTCGTTGTGGAGGTTGTGGGCGTCCATGTGATGAATAAATATTTGTACGTGGATGAGATTGAGCAGAGATAATTTTCAATGACCCTTGATTATTTCCTTGTCGTGACATGGATAAAACCTTGATTAAGTGATTTCGAATTATATGAAAGAGATTTACAACGAGAACAATTTTGCAATATGAATAATTAAAGACAAAATTTCAGAAATGAAAAATTGTCTTGTAACAATCAATAATCTGGAAATGTTTATAACGAGTCATGTTTGTATAAATGTTTCATGACGAACAGTTATAGAATTTGCACGAAAGGTGAATCGTTGAGGTTCTTTACATAGACAAGTTGAGGTCAAATGAATGACTACTTGGATCCTGGATGCACATTTCGAAAACGCAGCATACATCGATGGCGCGGGATTCTAGTATTCTAAATAAAGAAACCTGTTGTCCTATCTGACACAAGGTTTCAGCATTAAAAGCTCCAACATGTAGTTTAAGGAGTGGTTTCAGGAGACCAGGAATGACATTTCATGAACTCAAATCATTAGTATTGGTGGTGCGCAGTGATCAAGATAAGTGAGAAGGATTAGTCGTTGAAATGGAGGAATTATCAAGAAGTAAGTGCGGGATTGAATCATGAACATGATGATCTTGGGTACTGATAGAGGTGTACGGGAGTTTGCTACTTCCCGGCTGCCCATTTTTTGGAAGGATATGTCTTTTTCAAGACCTGGAAAGGAATGTGAATTATTGGTAGTCTTAGTGACCTAGGACTGTGACAGCAGAGCCTCAGGGACAACTATCTGTGGCCCATCACGCATTACCTTTTCATGGGAAGTTTTTGATATGTTTGCTCCGCACTTCTATTGGCCTTACTGTAGGGACATAAATCTGTGTTGTAACTTTGAGGTGCGACATTTTCATGGTACACTTTCGCGAGCCCGTTCTATCAACGATGAGAAGGTAACATCGTTTCAGATGCTGGTTGTCTAAGGCAACCATTTTAACTACCTTTGATATGATTACTATTACTACTAATTCGCTACTGGAATTCTTCGTTTCACTGTTGGTCGTAAGGTTCGACGGCAGTGTCTGTTATAGAAAGGCATACCAAAGGAGTACATTAACCCTGTACAGGCTCACCACTCGAACATTAATGGACAAATCAAAACTTATAGAGAACTTTCATCGGAATCGATTACTTCAAGTGGTGTTCTTCAGGGTTGTCCGATTTTCCCATTCTTATTTAACTTTGTCATAGACATGCTTTTAGAGATAGCACTTTCATCGTCTAGCTTTCCAGAGGTTGATTTTCTATCAGGAGATCCGCTTGTTGACTTGGAATACACAGATATACAGTTCTGTTTGGTGAAGACACTGGCCACTTTAAGCAACAATCCAAGCATGTTCGGGATGCGGTCCTCTCACCCCAAATGCAAAATGTTACTCTAGGACTGGTCTGTGTTGACGCCTGGCTATTAAGAGTAAAGAATATTTGTTACTAATGGTATTCAATCGTTAGTGTCTTTGAAGTATCGCTCGTGTATGTTTGGCACAGAGAGTAAGCGATGCTTGGGTCAGGAATAGGGTACTAGGTAGGGATGGCGAATCGATTGGTGAGGTAGTAAATCTTCATTAACCACCGCCTATCTCGATGGGAGATGTCGTCTGTGTAGGACTAAGCTGGAAGAAAGCTAGAGGCGACCAGACCAAAACATGGCACCAGTCCATGAAGTTATCGACGACTGGGCTGAACCATGTCAATAGAGTGTAGACTACTTGGTTGGCGTCTGCATGATTATCGTAACCAATCGTTAGAGAATTTCAGTGACATGGCTCAAAATCATCTGCAATGGCGCAAGTGCATCCATTCTTTGTCTTCCTCCAAATTATGAGCTTCTAAATTCCTCATAACTTTTCTTGTGCTTCCATTTCAATAATTTATATTTACTTGAATCATATCTCCGATGTTTAACGTTTTCAATCACCACTGATACAGTAACTACTTCGGTTATTCTGGGATTTGGCTTGACAATTTGATCTCGCCATTCTAATGGAGTATGGTAACTTGAGCCGATGTAAACACGTACCAGGTTCTACGCTTTGACTGACTGACTGACCTAACCAAGCATTCTACACGATGAAAAAAAGAAACACACTCAACTATATAACAAATACATAAGATGAATTCTATCTTACCTGCTGATAAGATGGCGGGGAAGGTCGTTCTTGTATACGTTGCTGGAATGTCTGACACACTGTAGAGGATTTATTCCGTTCAGATGGTCTATATTGCAGATTATTATTACTATTATTACTGAATTCTGAACATGAAGACACAATCGTTGCAGTTGCTGTTGTCGATGATGTTGTAGATGAGGCATAATTTATGGGATTTTGTGAATTTTTATCCGATAACTGTTTAACAGTAAACAATTGTTTATCTGACTTTGAATTTTGAATTTGTGTGTGAGTTTGTACCAGTGGAACATGACCAACTTGAAAGAGATGAGAGAAACGAACAAAAAACAAAAACCGAAAACCAGGAGAAATAACAAAGCATGTGTTACATAATAAGCTGGATGAATCTAATCATTTATCAGAACATGGACATAAAATCCTTATCATACAGTGTAATCAAATCCAAAATAGAACATTTCCCCATAAAACTAGAAGAAAAGCTATATTTATTTTGGAGTGATGCATGGTCTTTATGATTCGCAAATTATAATTTTATTGTGAAGTGTGTGTCCTGACAAAATAAGTAGATATGGGAGCGAAAGATGATAATAGGAACGACGTAATACAGACAGTGTAGCCAGGAACCAAATGAAAACTAGAAATTGGATTAAGTTTCAACCTTACATAGTATTTGGTAGGTCGCATGATCCTCAAGGTTTCATCAAACGTGCTAAAGAGCTGAATGAAAACAGTCCTATTCAGTTAGTAACAACAATATACACAAACAAAAAGCCGTTGAATGTGCCAAACTTAAAGAAGCCAATTCATGGGAGTGTAAAGTAGAATCTTGCACACCTAAGTTATAAGGTTGGGAAAGATACGTGAATAGTTCTAAAACTTACTATGCAATCCTCTAAGTTACAGTAACCATAAAAGTGATTAAAGAACTAAGGGGATATTTAACTCATCTGTGACGTGTTCGAAAGAATTAAGCTCAGAGAACTGAAACGTTCAAACAAAAAGGGTATTGTGAATTCAACCTTCTTTAGAAAAATTATTGATTACTGGAGTTTATAAAACGCAATATATGTCAATTCCTGTTCAGTACCATTTTTGATGTTCTTATAGAATTATATACTTTCTACATGCTAAAGTATATATATCAAGTATAAAATTATTTAAATAGCGTTACTGAAACAATAAGTCTGCATTCGCCAAGTTTTGAGTCACATAGAACTGTATAACACCCAAAGATATTTCATAGTTGCTCAGAATGAAGTGGGATAGGGTTCGGTAATTCTATTTGGTAGATGTCAAATTGAATGTTTAATATGAAAGACTACAATAAGGAAAAGTAAGTCAAAGATTCACATAACCAGACAAATTTGATTTTTAAGGCTTTAACAGAAAATGCTCTGAATAATGCAGAATGTCAGTGATATATTAAGTAAAATGATATTTAAAGAAATAAATAAGGTATGATATCACATTTAAATTTATTACAGCCCGTCAAAGTCAATGAATGAGACATTTAAAGTTATTATAATAAACTAAACATGATATAGGAAATAGGAAATAAGTGGGGCATTCAAAATTTACAGAAAGATCAAATATATTTCTATCATTCTACTATGTCACCTACAGTCAGTCAACAAAACTATCAAATTAGAAATTATGTACATCATAGATGAAAACCCACTGTTTTTCATATGATTCCATGGTGGTCTAACTTAAATCAACTCATGAATTTAACTATTAAATCTAATCTGATTCGTCAAAACAACAGCTAGTGAGTGACTGGGTATCGTATCTGGCTATAATCAAGTTTAGAGTTGGAAGTCGAGGTAGGAGGAATAATAAGAATATAGTGGTCTCGAGTGCTATTAGAGGTATGAGGGCGGTTATCACTTCCCAGTCGTCCACACCGTTGAAGGGTTCTTCCGGAGATATCTGAAAAGGAAATTGGGTTAGGGGTGGTATTGGTGACCTGAGAGCATGACCGTAGTGCCTAAGGGACAACTGTTTGAGATCGGTCACACACGTCCTTTTTGTGCACAATTTTCGTGTTAGCTCCGTACTTGTTGAGACCTTACCGCCGGAGACGGAAATCCGTGAAATACGGCGAGATGTGCATTTTTAAGGTCAACCTTTTCTAACCCTACCCATCCTTATGGGAAGGCAGCATCATTGCTATGCTGGTTGTCTGAAGGAAACACCTTAATGCCGTCACACCTACGCATACATTGACCAACTAGCCAACCAGTCAGTTTTAAAGCATAACATTGGTAATTTAAAGACAAGATAAGGAAATATGATTGGTAAGATCATCTACTTACACAAAAACTCGAAAACAATAATAATTTATGATTACAAAATTTACCTGTTCCATGTTTAATGCCAGATGATAAATTACTTGCTATGTGATAATTATTATTATTATTATTAATACTATTGTTGTTATTTTCATGTCGTGTATTAATCATGTCGTTTTTCAGTGATTGATACGCTCGTTGTGAATTGGCATTTTGAGGATATTTTAAAGCCAAAGCTATTTCATATGGTGGTGGCCGAGTTGGCTTGCAATTTAAGTCTATTGAATTGTGAAAGAGCGATGAATGAAGGATAAGGGAATAAGAAGGATAACAAGAAAAAAAAAGTAAAAACATTTTCAAATTTCTCGTCCTGAGTTACAAATATTCTCCATCGTCTTAAAAGTGTGAGCATTAGATAAAAATAAGAAAAGTATGACTTGAAATTTGAAATGATCTAATGAGTGTTAGGGATAGTTGTTTGCTTTGCTTGATCGCTAGGCTGGGTGATTGGAATAGTTAATAACAGATACCTGGCTGAGGACGTCTCTTCAAATTCAAGGCTTGGGGAAAGGTGGATCAAAAAGAATGCAGCTTACGATAGCTCAAGGTTAATTGTACCGACCAGAATGTATAATTGGTTACGCCTAAGGTGTTAGGCTATGAGTAAGAGAGTAGACATGAAATAGCGAAATCCTAGTCAGAATTCTGAATGGCGAATTTATGAAGTGATATCAGTTATCATTTCAAGGTACAATACACATATACACAGACACGAACAGTATATTGTTCAAATGCTGGGTATATAAACTTGGTTAATGAATTGCATACAGATGATCATCAAAGTAAATATTTACATTACTCTAAAAACTTTGGACTTTCCTATATGATGTGTATTAAGAGCTAAAGCTTTATGGTTTGTTACCTAATAACTGGAGAACGCAAAAAATTATAGAAAAAGACGATAAACAATAATGTTATTGTAATCGAAGCAAACAAACAACAGTTATGCCTATTTTTAAAAAATATAGCATCTAAACAGTTTTATTATTCATGAAAATCAGTAATTTATTCAATTATTAGAACAAAAGATACAGTGACTTGTATGTGATAAGAAGATTAACAATCAAAAATTACTTGATTGAATTTAAATAATCCATTAATGTGGTTGGTTTATGATCACAGTCACGAACAAATAAACTTTAAGTTTAAATTCACTAGGTGTTGTTTGCTTGTATCTACCCATTGTTGTCTGGGACAGCAATTGATAAATCTCTTGTTAACATATGTGCATCCTGTGCGGACTGCAGTCCTATACAACAATAGTAAGATACAAGCAAGTAACATTTAGTGAATTTAAAATTCACCCTATTGCACAAGCAGGTGGCTATCAGGACTCAGTAGCTAAGTAAATAACGCGATGGCGTTTGAAGCGGACGGTAATGGGTTGGAGTCCCGGAATGGACACCAATTCTGGGTTAACATTAGTTGCACGGCCATTTTTTATTCGAGTGAAATTTTTTTCGTCCCATTCGAAAAAATTTTTCATCCCCATCTTCCAATAATTTTCATTCTGTTCCGTCTAATCTAATAGCTAGTTTTGAGTTCGTTATAATTGGTCGTTTATTTCTTCAACTTGATATAAAATGTCAGGACCTGAAGACAGCACATTTTCTTCCAATTACGGGCGATAGTAAGGTGCAAAACACGAGCTCTATAGTTTCTCACGTTGTCACAGAAACCGATAACCTATTCTTGAGCACATTGTATCTCGTAGCGTCTCAATCACTTGAAGAGCGCCGTTAGAACTTATGAAAGAGCTACATACTGCCATTATGCGGTGAGAGATTCTCGTTTCTATTGAGATCGGAAGCCGTATATTAAATTCGTATGTTGGAGAAATGGCGTTAATTATTTTTACCTGTACATTCTTTGTAGTTGAGCAGTTTAAAATGATGACAAAAAATACTTGAATGTGTAAGTAAAGCAGTCATGTAAATGGGTTATTGTGCTGCTCGTCAAATGTACTTTTTTTGTCATGTGTGTACATTATTCATTTAATGTCAATCCCGAGATAGCTATGCGTTACAAATACAACCATATTTGCAGCTTAAAAAATCCCCATATAATCATATTTTATGTTGGTGAATAAAAATTTTTGACAAGCATTTGAATATATTGGTTACATGAAGTGTAAAAGAACAAGCCTACGTCTGATGAAATAAATTTCTATCTCAATTAGACAACTTAATACGAACAAAGTCGATTGTATCAAATGACATTTGGGTATGCACATAAATTTAACTTCAATGTAATAAATAAATGTCTACTTTTATTTACCAAACGTCAAACTGATAATTTTCACTATATTAGAACATTCTTATTACATTTTGCATGTACATACAGTTTTTAATGTTAAGCCCACTTGACGAGCAGAACAATAACCCATTTACATGACTACTTTACTTACACATACAAGTATTCTTTTTTCATAATTTTAAACGGTTCAACTACAAAGAACGTACAGGTAAAAAGAATTGACGCTTTTAATGGATTAGCAAAATAACGCAATTACATTGTCGCAGGAGTATAGCACGGTAGTGGAATGAAGTTGGTGTTTTTTTTTTTTAAAAAGTTAACATTTTTATCAAAACTCGGATGGAACAGTCAGAAAAAATATTATTTTCATTTGAACAGTTTAGATCATAAGTCAATTGGAACTAGAACACCATGGAAAACTTGTTAATGTTTAACTTCAACTAATCCACGAAATTTCTATAAATCTCAATTGATTATATTGCTTAATGACTAAGGCTTAATTAGAACTAATCAATGTTGGTTCAGCTGACCTTTCCCATAGAAATAATGTCGTTGTACTAGTGTACTGGTAGTACTACATTCGTCTATCGTAACTATATGACAAAACATTGAAGCATTCTGAATAAGTTTTGCATGTAATATTTTGTTAGATACATTAGTGTTCATTAGATGACATTTCCTATAAGAAATCGTTTACTTAAACCGTATATTTGATAAAGCTTAAAAAGCGTTTACGAATACGTGGGCAATAATCACATAATGATTATTAGTCTTAAATGAATTTTGATAGCTTCATCACTTGACCTTTGCCATGGAAATAAGGAATTGAAACAAAAGAATTTAAATCAAATTTTGGGTGGCCCTGAAAAGGGCCTTTACTCGTTCTCTTAACAGTTCCGAATTTCATGAACAAAGGCGTTGCTATGATTCCGTTATAGCGACGCACATGAGACAGTGGATTCCATGGACAAGTGGTGATGAGTCGCAAGCACAAAATAAATGAAACATTGCTTCGTATGGACAAAAAATCCAGGCACTTCCATCAGCAGTTTCATGTGGCGGTTGCGCAACATTGTAAATATCACAAAGTCTGTTGTCATACGCGTTCTCGTCATTGTCGTCGTCTCGTTCAGTGAACTCCTCTGAGTTAACCGAAACAATTTCTTCCTCGTCATTGCTTAACATTGCATCCATATCGACGTTATTTTGATAGTTGGCAACTTACAAAAAATGAAGGGAGGACATTGTGTTCACGGAAATCCTTTATGAAAAATTATAATAACACTAATCAAATTACCTCCTTCGTCTACTCGGCTGTGAGGAACCACTAGGTGTTCTACGGCCATTTCTCCAACATACGAATTTAATATACGGCTTCCGATCTCAATAGAAACGAGAATCTCTCACCGCATAATGGCAGTATGTAGCTCTTTCATAAGTTCTAACGGCGCTCTTCAAGAGATTGAGACGCTACGAGATACAATGTGCTCAAGAATAGGTTATCGGTTTCTGTGACAACGTGAGAAACGACAGAGCTCGTGCTTTGCACCTTACCTTAGTTCCGGTTGCACTCTTGGCGTTATAATATGTAGGGTGATATCGAGGTCGTCCAAGTTTTATCCACGTCTCTCTAGAAATTAATGTTATGTCGGACCCCGTATCAATTTACTTAACAGGTTTACCATTGAAAAACAGAGTTACATATTTCCTTTTAGATGAGAATTGAGCACCTTTTGTGGTCAGAATCACACTCGAATAATGTGGGATTTCTTTTGGTGTCTGCGTCTTATTTCCTTTACGAGACTTACTTTGATGGTCGACAATCTTTTGTCCACTTTTACAACATACTTGAGCATGACCGTATTTACCACATCGGAAACAAACTCTTTTTTTAAAATAGCAAACAATAGCAGAATGACGCTTACCATATCGCCAACAACACGTTTTGGGTTTCGTTTGCTTTGGAATTTCCATTTAAAGCCTTCTGCAAGGTTTTAACTTCCACGTGTTCACTGTTCTTTTCTACTAGAGTTGTGTCATGCTTCAAATTAACCATTCTTTGACATTCTCTAGATACTGATTGCAGACTGATATTAGGATCTTGTTCTATTCTTGTTAAAATACGTGTTCTAATATCTGCATCTACTCCAGATTGTAACCCACATACAAAAATAAGGCATTTAAATTGATCTGAGGACATTTCCTGTAAACGGAACCGCTCACATTCCCGGTTCACGATGCTTGCATACGTCATATAATCGTCCTGTGGTTTTCTCACAATCTGGAGACACTGGAATCTAGTATGAAACACTGATGGTCTTTCAGCGAATATACGTGTCAGGCACTCAACTGTTTCTCTGAAGGTTATGTCGGTTGGCTTCTTTGGGAGGATAAAATTACAGAACTTTTCATGTTCAGACACTCCGAGCTTTCGTAATAATAATCTCAGTTTTGAACTTTCGTCCCACTTTACAATCATTAATAAACAAATCCTCATGGCGTTTAAACCATGCTTCAAAAGTAATTCCACATTCTGGATCAAATCTAAATTCATTTATTTTATTCGCAATAGAATCCGGAGCCATAGTGGAATTAGATACATTGATTCCTGATGATATTGACATATTTTTCACCAATAATTCGATAAGAGAATTTCGCTGTTGCAATAAGGTTTTCAGATCATCCATTTTATTATTATAAAATCCACTGAATATGTAGACGTAGATCAGTTTTAATCACCGTCGGCAATTGCTATAATTTGTGGTTTGTACTTAAGGTTCTTTGTTTTCCACTCCGTCGCCAATTGTTATAACTTGAGGTATTACTTCGTTTAATGTTATAACGCTTAAACGATTATCTACACTAGATCCCTCCCAGTGTCTATTCTACAGGACTTCAACACAACTCAGATCAAGAACACGTAATCAGTCTGACCAGAACGTAATATATTTCCACACTCAAAACCGACACAATCCACAACAATGAACAATCAATAATTATAATAATAGGATGTATATAAGAGAGAGTCACAATAATAAGGGTAAGGGAATATATAACTTATCTGACACCTATCAGATTGTCTACATGTCTAAGCGGACAACCAATCATGATCGTTCTCGCCCACACAACACAATCATTGACCAATTGCAGCTCGAGTTGACTAGGCACATGAGCAAATATAATCAATAGCTTCGCCCAAAGTGAAGAAGATAACTGAGCGCTACACTCGATTGAAGTAAGAGACCAGACACAGGGTAACAGGTTTATATTCTCGATCTCAAATCACATTTTTCTGTATGAGGATAAGTTATACTACCAACTGTCCGAACCGAAGTATATGGAGCACGGTCACAAAAAGTTGGATGCTTTTAATCAGTGAGTTTACGGGTACTATTTAAGACACCATGGTGTACATTTTTGATGGAGTATGAGTTTCCGTGAGATTTTATACATCTTGATAATGATGAGCTCTAAAGAAAGTGAAGCCTAGATGTAAAAATTCTAATAGCTGTTTATGACCATTTAAATGATCTTTTAGACACCATTAACTGGCTCGTCACAAGACTGAATGATTTTCGTGTGAATCTGAAAACACCATCAAATCAAATATGGGAAACTTACATTGTGGAATTATTCTTTTTATAACAGACTGTCGATAATTACGAGGTATAGACAGCATTGAACCACCAAGTGGAAATGTATTTGCAGTAGGATATAAATAGTTCTCATCGAAATTGAATGAAATTGAATGCTGATGCTGTTGCAATGATGATTGTTCTCTAGAACGACCTGATTGTATTGTTGCCTGTTGTTGTTGTTGCGGATTTGGGGGATAGGCAGCTCCACCAGATAAATTAGTAGACCGATGTGGGTAAGTCATCTGTTGCTGTAGAGAAATACCGCGATAAGATGGATGTGGCACTGTAGCAGCATTAGAACTCAGTGTTAGACGAGATCCAATGGAATTTGACAGACACTGAGGGTTTGATTGTTGCTGCTGTACGACAAAATATATATATATATATATATATATATATATATATATATATATATATATATATATATATATATATATATATAAAATCTCACTATTAAGTACAAGGACTGAGGTCACAAACGTTTAGTTTGCAAAATTTAAAGTGCATGAATCTTACTCCTTTCAAAGTAATCCACAATTGTGGTTATACGCTTATCTCATCCGTAAAAGTCATCACTGGAAGGCCTCCAGAAGTTAGACACGTTAGCTACCTTGGAGTTTCACGTTTTACCTTTCATTTGTTGGTCTATGATTTCGAATCGATTTCGTACCTATAAAATATTGACTCAGTTTTCGCTAGCTCTTGGTCAGGTGTCATCAGTTTCGAAACGATTTTTGCACGTAAGTAGTTTCTCAACCCCAAATGTTTTGTTAGAATCGTGTGCACAAACGATTTTCAAGAACTCAATTCATTAGTAATAATGAAGACAGTGAAGTGAAGATTAGGAAGAACGAGACTGCACACGTTCAGTGTTTTCACCAATAAATAGGCGATAACCTATAGATAACAAAGTTGCTAGCTCAGTTAGCGTGTATACTGGACAGACTACGTGTGACATAGCAGTTATGTATGCTTTATTTAGAAAAATTAAAGATATATTTTTATTGTACATAGGCTTTTACATTTTCTGTTGACTTGAGCACTGGAATGCTACTAGTACGACTTTCCGGGGTGATTGAAAACGAACTTAAATCTGAGATCTCGCGATAAACATATCATAGAATATTAGTACTCCAACGACGGCGAGATGTGTGGTGTAACCACATTTACATGTGAAATCAAGATTATGATTACAATGTAAACGCATGTCGGTGTGTTGATAGTCAAATGAGCATTAAAATTATCGTTTTTTCTAAAATAATTTGTTCTCAGATTTAACATGTCCCACTCTCCCTATTATTTACGAATAATATGATATGAATGTTAACTACGACCTCAAATACAACAGTTTAATTCAACCTGTTGTTAGCGACTAGTTAAAGTATATCTTGGTAAAATTTACTAATTGTCTTTACATGAGAATGATATGGGGATAAAAACAGATTATGAAGGTGTAAAAACAACACTCAATCATACTTGGTATTGATAATTTGTATTCTGATTTGTTGCCTGACTAAAATATTGGTGTTTCATAGTAGCTTGACCTCGGTTATGAGGTGGAGATGCTGATGTTTGTTGGTGATGAATTAAAGAATGCTGCTGCTGATGCAAATGAGAAGGATCTCTTTGATTTGGTAGCATAGCATACATTTGATTCGATGTAGAATTACTATTCCCACTATCATTCATATTAGTAGCTATACGAGATGGTATTGGGATAAGATTATCCAACAGGAGACTTTTACTGCCTGTTGTACCGGTAGGAGTGGAATAACATCGAGTCGGTTGTGGATATATAAACTGAGTATTACTATAATGATGATGATGGTGTAAATGATTAGAAAATGTGGAAATAGTAGCATTAGAGGTAGATGATGATTCCGGTGTGCTGTTATTTGACATTTGTATGATAGCATTATTATTTGCTTGATAAGATGATCCTATAGACGATGATACATTAGAATTGTCATAATGTTGCGATTTCAAGTGTCCAAATCCAATACCAGCATATGGTCGAACTGGTGATGTAATGAACAAAGACTGAGCGACATTATGAGTATTATTGTAATGAAAGTAATTCGGGAAAGTAAACACAGGCAAACGTCTCTGAGAAAGACGTTTACTACCTACACTTAGGGCTAATAATTTGCGAGCGTCTTCAACAGATTGTGCGCCTAGTAATGGTCGGGTAAATATATCCGTTGGATTTGTAGATGTTGGATTAGATGTGATTGATGCTGCTACTGTTGCTGGTGGTACATATGGAGGTTCTGTCGATACGTTGATAACTTTAAGCGGAGACTTTTTATTTGTATTTGATTCGACTATAACAGACTGTGCAGAAGTTTTTGTGGGAGACAGCTTTATACCTACAATAAAAGAGTATAAAAAGTCCCAAGAAATAAATAAATTTATTAAAAAAGAAAAATAGACTGACTTAATTTTAGATGGTCCCTACTATGATGGTGCACAGCTGAAGAATCTCGAAGTAAGATAATGGAACAAATATCCAGTACTTACTTGTTTTCTTTTTAGTCATATAATGATTTGGTCATTTTTTGAAAATAAGACCTATCGGTGAAATTTCAGATATTTATAGGGATATTCTTTTGGTAATAATTTAGTTGATACCAGTCCACCACTAAGACTATGTTCGAACTAAACATTGTAAGTTTGTTTGTAAATGTTTGCATCTCCTTCTTGTTGATATTAGGAGCTACAAGCGATCAGTCTCTGTAGGGATACATCCAACCTAAGAGGATGGCTAGATATTCTCTTTTAATCACAAGTTTTCTAGCATACCAGCATTGTATCAGGCAGCGGAACACCAGACGCGCAAATTATCCTATCTGAGATGTGCCCGCATCTCAGTGTTGGCATTCCACGCTGAAACTTGAATCCAGATACGTAACAACTGAAACCCCAGAGCGCTATCCACTAACCTACAAATCATTCGTGCTTTTTTTTATCCATGTGAAACATTGAAGTTTTCGCGGGGAACAACGACTGTACTTGAAAGAAGATCTAAGTTACTCTTAGAATCATTGGGTTTTCACTCAAATCAACTAAGAAACCTAATTAGTAAGTGAGAAAGATGGGTCCGGTGATAGCTTAACTGATAATCATAACAATCTAAGACGTAGTGATATCGGACTTGAGTACAATGTATAGGATATTATTCAATTTTCCCAACCGAAATAGGTGGGGTATGGTTGGAAAGAGTAAGTCAAATATTTGACAATCAAATTTTTCATACAACTGGTGTGTACAAACCTGGTGACCATGGAAACCAATGTTTGCTATGTTTTTTAAATACATACTAAATTTCACTCAGTTTCAGTCACTTATCTCTTGTGATAACAATTTAGTTTACTTAATCAAGAAATCAGCATGGCTATCAGACAAATCAAGTATGGCAAAGCAGCAGGACTAGACAGCATTCCAGCAGAGGCACTGAAAGCAGACGTAGCGGCAACTGCAAGGATACTCCAAACTCTCTTCAGAAAGATCTGGGATGAGGAACACGTACCAAAAGACTGGAAAGAAGGACTTCTAGTCAAAATACCAAAGAAAGGCGATCTCAGAAACTGTGACAACTACAGGGGAATCACTCTTCTCTCAATACCAGGAAAAGTCTTCAACAGGGTATTGTTAAACAGGATGAAGGACTCTGTAGACACACAACTTCGCGACCAACAGGCAGGATTCCGTAAGGATAGATCGTGCACAGACCAAATCGCAACTCTACGGATCATTGTGGAACAATCAATTGAATGGAATTCATCACTCTATATCAACTTCATTGACTACGAAAAAGCATTTGATAGCGTGGACAGAACAACACTATGGAAGCTTCTTCGACACTACAACGTGCCTCAGAAGATAGTCAATATCATACGGAATTCCTACGATGGATTAAACTGCAAAATCGTTCATGGAGGCCAGTTGGCAAAGTCGTTCGAAGTAAAGACCGGTGTCAGGCAAGGTTGCTTACTCTCACACTTTCTCTTTCTCCTGGTGATCGACTGGATCATTAAAACGTCAATATCTGAAGGGAAGCATGGGATACAATGGACAGCTAGAATACAGCTAGACGATCTAGATTTCGCAGATGATCTGGCTCTTCTATCGCAAACACAACAACAAATGCAGGAGAAGACAACCAGTGTAGCAGCAGCCTCAGCAGCAGTAGGTCTCAATATACAAAGGGAAAAGCAAGATTCTCCGATACAACACAGCATGCACCAATCCAACCACAATTGACGGAGAAGACTTGGAAGATGAAAAACCTTTACATATCTGGGCAGCATCATTGATGAACACGATGGATCTTGTGCATACGTGAAGGCAATGATCGGCAAAGCAAGAGCAGCATATTTACAACTGAAGAATATCTGGAATTCAAAACAATTGGCAAACAACACAAAGGTCAGAATTTTCGATACAAATGTGAAGACAGTTCTACTGTATGGGGCCGAAACCTGGAAAACCACGAAAGCCATCATCCAGAAGATACAGGTGTTTATTAACAGTTGTCTACGCAAAATACTTCGGATTTGTTGGCCGGACACTATTAGCAACAACCTACTGTAGGAGAGAACAAACCAGATCCCAGTGGAGGAAGAAGCGCTGGAAGTGGATAAGACACACATTGAGGAAAGCACCGAACTGCGTCACAACACGAGCCCTCACATGGAATCCTCAAGGTCGAAGGAGTAGAGGAAGAACAAAGAACACATTACTCCGGGAAATGGAGATAGACATGAGAAAACTGAACAAGAATTGGATGGAACTAGAAAAGAAGGCCCAGGACAGAGTGGGTTGGAGAATGCTGGTCGGCGGCCTATGTTTCATTTGGAGTAACAGGCGTAAGTAAGTAATCAAAACTAATCTATAAATAAGCCTGATATGTTCGTATAAAAGTTTTATGTTTTTTGATAACTGATCCGGATAACAACAAAACCACATACAGAACATATCACAGAACGAAATTTCATCATTACAATACATATAGACTACATAAAAGATATTGATTAAAGTTTTGTCCACAACTCGAAACTCATCAAAACACTCATGTTGCAGCTGAATAGACAGATTTGAGCAACAACTAATAGATATTCCTAAGATATATTAACAATTTGGATTGAACATTCTGTGTATCGAAATCTAGAAGTTGAAGGAAATTTTTTACATAGCTTGTGTACAGTCAACAGTGGTCTTGAGTGCTGTTGGACCTCGACGCGCAATGCTGACTAGTGTTGGGGATGTTTGGAAGAAAGTTAGGGGCGGCCAAACCAAAACGTGGCATCAGTGCTTGAAGTTACTAACTTCTGGTCTGAGCCATGTTGGTAGATGCAGACTCAGTCAGTAACAACGTAGAACTTCGTACGTACGTACATCAGTTCGAGTTGCCGTACCAAATTAGCACAGAGATGCAGTTGTAGATTCAAACCCCGTAGTGGAAGAGATAGTAAGAGTATAAGCAGTAATCGGAAAGATTAGGGTTTGATACAGACCGCGTAACTATCGTAACCAATGGTTGGAGATTGTGGGTGATATGGCCCAAAATCGATCACAATGGCTTCGATGTATACACTCTTTGTCTTTCCTTAAACTATGAGATTAAGATCGCTTCATATCTTTCTTTCTACGAACTAATTCTTTCTTCCCGTACTATGTCAGATGTACATATGTGCGTGGTCTTACGTTGTAGCTGACTGACTGTGTATAGTCAACAAAAGGAAGGGAGAATAATGTAATGAACGATGATTTATAGCTCATCCGAAAAAACGACATGAAGTTTAAGTTCTAGATTCAGTGTTATCCACCTACAACTGGATAGAATTTATTTCCTACTGTCCATGCGGACTCAAGTATATTATTAAAAAACGATGTGTTTATTTACACACCCACACATAATTTATTCATTTCACACACAAGTGATAAATGCGAAAAATGCCATTTCTATAAAGTAAATAAATATGTAGCATATTTTTTGTGAAGATGATTATCAATTGCATGTATATATGGATATAAATAGAATCATAGTTAACAAATATGTATTTGTGAAATGCATGTTAGAAAATTGATGTTATTTGAAAAACACTTGAATTGTCACAAGTCAATCAACTAGCTATCATCAACACAGGATTTAGTACAAACGTCCATAAGTTCAAATGACCAAATTAATAATGTAGCAATTAATTTACTGAATATACGGGTTAAAGTGTTAGTCACTACATTTGATGGCCACTTACAATTGTGCGAGAGCTGGTGATATTATTCGATTGGATAAATCAAGGTAGTTTGAATCTGAAATCTAATGATTGAGAGCCGGATGACCTAATCAACAAGTTACGATTGTTTGGCACTATCCTAGACAGCGGTGCTTGGAAATACATATTCAAAAAATCTTTAGTTTGTGGATTATATTCACATTCGATTGATCACACTTGGGGTACTTTTTAAAATCAAGGAGCACGAGACTTTTTGGAAGTGAACATCCACAACCTCATCAGAGACCGAACTCAGTACTTTTGGGTATCGCAGCAAAAAATTAATAGTTAGAAGAATTGGGTTGGCGTTGAAATAGCTGTTCAGTGCTCTCTGGTTTTCAACGGTACGTTAAGTGATATTAATTTGTGACAGAAACCATCTAGAAATTAGAACAGTCTAGACAAAACCCTTGGATCATCAGTTACAGATTTAGTTTGGACGTTGATATTTTCGAATTTAGTTAACTTCTGACATGTTTTTTGGGGCAATTTAATGAACACCGATACTAGAGAAGGGTGTTGTCCATATCTTTTGAACTGAATTTTTGTTTGTTTCTACGTAATTCACACGTTTCGAGGTTTTGTGTTTCAACTGATAACTGCGTTTAATTTTGAGGTGAGGGCCTGTTTCATACATCAGATTATTTCAGTCTGATATCAATATAATCAAATATGCAGGTAGTTCAGTTTATTTCGATCCAGCTTCATTCACTTTAGTTCGAGAAGCCAGGTACTTTCAATAGCTCACACGCAAAAATTCTGACTCAAAGTCAACTATACGAAACAGCATTTGATATATCAATCCACATTGCATAATTTCCATAAAATCCTATACTTTCCCAAGTAAATTGTTCAGTAGCCGTCACAAATATATTTTTTAAATATACAGGTTACGAGAGAACAGATAATCCATAAATTGAAAAGGACACAAAATAACAAACATTCACCAATACTTATCTATAGTTTTTAAAAAAATGGCTACCTTTTAATTTTGTATTATTGTTGGAGGAAGGGAGATTAGATGTATATAGCTGTTGTGAATCATTTCCTTCATTAGTAGAATTATTATTATTATTATTACTATTAGTAGTAGTAGTAGTGCTGCCAACAATGCCTACTGAGGATACAACAGCGGGTTGGACAGTTTTTGAATCTTTACCACTAGGTTCAATGCGTAAGGATAATTGAGACAACAATTCCGGATCTTGGACAACTCTTAAATTAGCGAAATACGTACGAATCCGTAAAGTTATCAGCCAACTTTCATAAATCTTTTTTGGATTAATTGATGAAGCAATTAGACCGAGATTTGATCGCCGTCGAATACCACCACCGGGGACAATGGAAGAGTTAGCTGTGGACAATTCCACATTGAAACTTCCACTGGAAGGAGTTGTAGGATTCCCATGTTGATGTAGACGCTTGTGTCCAACTAAACAAAAATTTAATCAAGTATACATGTAATAATAATAATGAATGCAACAGGATGACGAATTCTTACTTTTTGAATCCTGAAGTAACTATTGCAATGAAAGTTAGATTTACCAAAATTTTTACTGACTTATACATCAAACAGTTAAATATTTGATCATATAGGTATTTAGCTTAACATATTGCAAATTTTAATGTGAAATAAAATATACGAAGGAGTTGGTTGAAACAAAATCGAGCGAGGTAGGGTATAAGCTGAAACGAGATATCATTTCATGAAGTTATTGACTGTTAGTCTCAGCCATGGTGGTAGGTAAAGAGTACTCGGTTGGGATCTGTGTGGTAATCGTGACTGATAGTTGGAGGCCTTAAGTGATAGTTTGAAATCGGTCTCGTTGGCTTCAAAGCATTGATACTTTGTTTATTCTGACCATTATTTTTTGTAAAAGGTGTTCCGTATGCACAGCCTTTTTTTAAAATACTGTTGGTACTACAATTATTACGATACATTAGCTATTCATACCATTAATTTCAACTCGTTGTGCTAATTTGATATGGTGGGTTGGGTTGATACATATTTGTACTCCACTTTACATTGATTGTGCTTAACTATCAAATAAGAACAATTCTGCGAAATAATATAAAACAAATTAATTGTAATGATGAAATTAGTAAAGGCTTCAAATAAAAGAAAGGACCATGGATATAACGGATAGTTGAAAATATTTTTCTCTCTAAGGTACACATCGATAATACGTTAATACGATAATGAGACTAGTCACGTTATATCAGATCCATGATTCACAACCCAGAATAGAGAATGAGATTAACACTAAACGTCAATTTATTCAGTATAACCAGTCATACGCAGTGAGTTCGAAGAGGTACGGAAATCACATATTTAATAGTTGGTAAGCTAAGTGCCTGTTTGTCCACGCTCAGTGACCAATCATGTTTCAGTTTCACTATCACATTTTAATTTCAATAGTTGAGATCATTAGTCAGTTGAAGCTAGATCACCATGAAAAACCTGGAAGCACTGGATGGCCATTTTATCCTAGTATGGGATTCTTCAGCAGTGTGCATCCACGATCCCGCTCACCACGAGATTCGGGCCCAGGACCTATCAGTCTCGCGCGAGTGCTTACCTACTAGACCACTGAGCCGGCATTCAATGGTGTTAATGTCTAACTTCAACCAATCCACGAAGTTGAGCAAAACATCCACCATTGTCTTCAGCACTCGCGCGCGAGACTGATAGGTCCTGGGTTCGAATCTCGCGAGGCGAGATCATGGATGCGCACTGCAGAATCCCACAATAGGACGAAACGGCCATCCAGTGCTTCCAGGTTTTCCATGGTGATCTAGCTTCAATTGACTCATGATCTCAACTATTGAAATTACTATCACATCCACAAAACCCCTTCTGTTACTTATCACATATTACCCACAAAACCTATATTCAGATTACAGGTGACCGTAGAATCTAGGACGAGAGTTTTATTTTGATGTAAGTTCGAGGGTTAATTTTCACACAGAGATTCCAACTCAGTACATTACTTTAAACACCATCAATATACTAAATACTTGTAACTAAAAGGGAATATCGAGATAATCCAAAAATTATGCATATATCCCAATAAAAACTGATCGATTGTAGTTCCTAATATCAACAAGTATGGATGTGTCCAGACTAATTTGACTGATGTTTTGTGACATATCATCAAAACGTTGGATTTATTATGTTTTGTAGATACTAACAAATAACATGCATTTCCCTGTACAATCTAAAAAAAATCAATAGATTCTTGCCATATTCTGTGTCATCCCACAGTAAATTTTCCAAAACTGTTTATGATTAACGTATTTTAAGGTGGGATGATGTATAGACTTGTGCAACACACATAGAAAATGGGTAAACCGATAAAGATTCAAAATCTTGCCTTCATTACGTAGAACACTTAGCAAGAACATTAGTCACTAGATAGTTTTATAATATGGAAATGATATTTCGAAGACAGTGATGGCTGAATATATGTGATCTTTAATGGTTACACTAAATCGGTTGTACCAGAATAACACAAAGATAAACAGACCAAAAGATTCATTTTGATAGTAGGTTACCGCGCAATAAACTTGAACGGAGGGAGAAGAACGTTTTTGGTTAGCTAAGGTTATTATATAGAATTAGAGAATTTTCCAATCATAACTTTTACAAACTCAGAACAAATTTTCAAAACTACTAAATAAGCTATAATTCCTCGAGAACTTTCTAAGTTTTGAGAAAGATAGAGGAAATAATTACAGTATCCTGACTTGATGTACATTAGTCTAAAGATAATAATGAGATCTGACTGAAGCAAAGTTAAAATGTCAAATTTAACGACTATATATATACCACTCAATTCCATGGGGAAATATGAACAGGAAGTTAATATGATTACATACGAGCTATAAAAAATAATCGATGTGAACAAAAGCTAATAAATTCTTAGTTGTCTAAACCTTCAAAAGTATTATAAAATAGATCTTGTATGGAGTTGGAGAGCAACTTTCTTCTAAAATATTAGGTTATTTCTCAACAGGCTAGAGTAGATCAATATTCACATCATTTTAAGTTTCGCTAACAATCCACTCAACAAGCCTCTTAAGTAAAAATCATAAGAAGGAATGAAAAAGTAAACACATAACCAACCATTAAAACCACTCGAAACATTAGTCCGATTCATAGGATTCGCATCAAAGTTAAGTGTGCTTTCACGTTGTTGTTGATCACTATCGTCAAGAGAATTTGAATGACTGAATTTCACTTCAGCCATATCGTGTTCTGACCAATTAGAATCTGTACTAGCACTATTTTATTATTATTATTATTATTATTATTATTATGGTTTGTTTGACTGAAGTTATTCATCGATGTAAGATTTGAAAAGTACGATTTCGGATTGATGGATGAAACGGAAGCGACTGCTTTAAGCGCGCTTAAATTGGCACCAGCACGTGCACGTCCGACACCACCAGCAGCACGACCGCGATATGGAGTAGTGCATAAATCATAATCAACATTACACATTCGACAAATGGCACGAACCTAAAAAGTAAGAATAAAAGATGTTCGAAAGCAACATGAGCACCAGCAACCTCAATGACAACGTAGAAATGAGAAATATTTACACTTAAGGGAAAATTTCATGTAAAAATAACTGTGAAACAGCAAAAACACTTAAGCAGAGAGAACTTATGAAAAATTTTCATCATGACGAGTACAACGCAGATTTTTCAAATACACAAGATTCTCAAAGACAAGGTCTTGTTACACAGTCACCCTACGATTTCCAGTGTTTTAGTTTATGCTTGATAATTTTGACGTAGAGTTTATGCACAGAATCGGACTCAATGTGGTTGTATCTAAAAATAATATCAAGTGAAAATTATTTTATCTTTAATAAACACCTGTATATTGACGTAAATGTAAACACTGAACGTCAGTGCATGGGAGCATATGTCCGTGCAACATACAAAAACAACTTTGTTGATTTATTGAAATAAAACAACACGGAGAACATACTACAGCTTATGTAGTAGCTTCACTGAAAGTTGAAAGAAAAGAATAAAATCTGAGAAAAATAATTCAGTCATTGTATTTAATTATGTCGGTATTTTTTTCTGTTTCCTCAAATACGCCATAATACAAGTAGCTTAATAGCATTTTAGGAATAGAAAAACTGAACAAGCTTTTTAATAAGAAAAGTGGTTCTTTCTTGTAACAAATATGGAAAAAAACAAGATTGGATAGAGATAAAGGTTGGTGAATCGACACATGTCTACAATTGTTATGTGTTTTTAAATTAGACACCATGTGTGGCTGGGACATAACTGAATGTAAAAACGACAAAATATGAGTGGTCTGAAGATTAAGCATTAGCCGTGAGGCTTGGAATTCGAGGGTTCTATTGCTGATGTGGTCATGAATACCCACTGTTGATAAGTCTTGTATTAGGATGAAACAACAGTCCAATGCTTTCTGGGTTTTAATAATTGTCTACATAAAATCAGTTTGCGGTATAAAAGTACAGATTTAACGATCTCCACAACTCGCTTATACTATGAAAGAATTGGGACAGTTGGTTCATTCCAATATGGAATTTCTCAATAATGTAGGTCTAGAAATCTAAATGAAATCAAAAACTTTAAATTTAATGACTTATAGATTTTCAAACTTTGGTAAATGCATTATTATAACAAGACTAATATCCAATGTAATCAATGTGTAGTTGTCTTGTTTCTGATTCTGGTTGATTTTCTAGATCTAAAAATTTGAGCCAGGCTAATAAATACGTACAAAGATTTCTAAATGACCGAAAAGATTCCATTTTTCAACTAATAACATCAATATGATTGTTCACTTGACTCCCAATATTTTACCACATAACTTAAGTCAATCATCATACATATTAAAAATTGTTGTTGTTGTCTTGACTACGATTTATGCTTTGACTTTTCAAAATTCTTTAATTTACTCAACGGAATTAAATGTCAATCTCTTGACTTTGTTCTGTTAAACGGGTCTGACAGTAAATTAGAAGTTAATGTTTCATGGTTCAATGATAGAAGTGACACTTGCATAGAGTGATAACTCGCAGAGCGTAGAAGTAGGGAATAATCAACAACTTTCTACGAAGAAAATAGTAAAAGATATCATTTATACATGGTTGTGAAAAGATCTAAATTGACTTTGTAGAGTTGAAAGTGGATAGATAAAATGTGTAGTCAATCTAAATTTCAATGATAGGGGCAATGAAATAATTTCGGTATTTATTGATCAATGAAGAAACATTTCTGTGTTTTAATAAACAAATAGTTATAATTTTACACTTGAAAAAAACTAACCATTGTTACCTGTCAAGTAGATTTGGTATTTGTGGTAGTAATACTAATGTTAATTATGTCAATAACAAATAACTTGCGCAACAAACTGCAATGGACTAGCTTATACAACGTGACGTTTGTCTTATTCAACTCGTTTCATTATTTTATGTTATTTCAAGTGTATTTATTGTTTTCTTGAATATAAAATATACATACATACATACATACATACATACACACACAGACATTTAGAAGCACTATTTAAGTAAATGCTTCAGTTTTCTTTTTGTTAATACATTATGCAATCGCAAACATACACACAAACGTATACCAACACACAGCACTTACATTTCATTTACTTTACGTATATATATATTCATTTATAGTTAATCTTATTAAATCTTCTGCCATTTAAACAAAACTCAATCACCTTGTCAAGAGTAAAGTTTATTTTTAAACAGAAATATTTTGATCGTAGTTAAACAATGTTTTGGTGTTTAAACTATTTGTTCTTTTGATGTAAAACACAACAGAGAGTACGTGTAAAACATATTTTGTTTAGATATATCAATAGATGACTAGTTGTTCATAAGAACACACATTTCAACAATAATTGACTAGTTATTAACAAGTTTTTAATGAAATAATTATAATACAGAGAATACATTCCTGGTTAAATAAATACAACACATTAAACTAGCCGAAACTTATCACGATCAATCTCATAAGAGGTTGACTGTAGTGGCATAGGTGCTAAATTTTTAATTTTTCTTTGCTCTATCACCTAAACCCTAACTTACCACTAGTGTTGGTTTTGTTTTAGATAAATTAGTATTTACAGAATAAGGACTTGGATAGATATAGATTTGTACCAGATCCCACGTAGTTGATGTGGACTTACCTGTCTGAAAAGGTAAATTTTGGACGTTAAACCAAAGAGAAGTGTAAAAAGATTTATTTGACATGTCTAGCAACTGTTACATATACAGCTTAAGTGATCTAAAATTAATTAGGGTGATATGTATAAAAAATGACCAATTTATCACCTCATTGAAAACTAGGTATTATGGAGCCATTTTGATCTTATTCGGAACTCTTTACAAATATTATTATTGTCTACAGATACCTGATCATCTCGTAACCCACTAAGTCATTATCTTAAAACTTCAGTCGAATTTATGATACAGTACAGTAAGAAACTGAACTAGTTCAATATTTAACAGATAAGTGTCAACCCTAGTGAAAGACTGAGTATTAAATTTTTCTAAACATAGTTCTGAATTGTACCGTATTGACAATGGGGTTGTTAGCAACACTAAAAAAGGCTGAACCAAATCATCAACAGCTTGAAAAAAAATAGAGATAATAATAATAACTATTTAACTAACCTCTTTAGCAAGCATTCGTAATTTGACAAAATTTATCAATCCATCTGGAGTACAAGAAGGATTACCTAAATGGATAAATGTTAAATCTTTCAATACCAATGGTAGATAGGGTAACATTGGAGCTGATACATTATTAGCTGATAGGAGAGTACGATAATGATGAAAATTTCTAGATGTATCCAATACCATCTGCAAATATGAAACGATATAAATGTAAGGGTAATGTTAATAAAAACGGTTTTTAAAATACTATTTAGTAGAAAGATATAAGAAAATGTTATATGCTATTGTGGTGTGTGCTACTTATGTAGACATAAGTACTATATGACGTGAGTCATGAACAGAATGTCTGGCAGCAGAGAGACGAGAAGATCGAACAATAAAAAAAGAATGAAATTTGTAGGAAAATGCAAGAACAAAGGAATTCTGAGTCATTTGAGACAATTGATGAACATTTTGCAAATTGAGCATTTCATATATGGTTGTTGGATTTTACTAACTAGTTCTGTAATTAGTTGTTAAATACATTCGGTTGTCCCCACCTGTGTTCTGTTCACTACACTATAAGCTACTGATTTATTCGGTATACAAATCACTGGGTAAATTTGAATTCGGATTACAAAATCACAATATCTCAAACAACCTGAAATCAATTTTGTTGATTGATTAGCACCATACGAATGAATCTTTGACTGTTATTTAATTGTTGTGTAATAAACAATAGTTGCCACTTTGACATAATGATTAGACTTATTAATTATAACTTTAGAACTACATTGGTTTCAATACTTCAGCCTCAATGTCTTACAATATCAGGAAGGTCGGTTAGAGAGCGTTAATATCAAAAGTAACTACTTTAGCTGATAGGTTGTACTACCAACTGTACTGAAGTATTGTGCCGTTATAGTGTTTCTCACAGATAGCTAGTATCTTCGGCGATCCTGCTTTTGGTACATCGAATTTAAAGGGTTAGAAAAGATTGAATTTACGGATTTCTAGCGCCAATAAAGGGTTTGAAAATGTCTGGTAGTAATACTATAGAAACGATTCATGAAAATGATTATCTGTAACTGGGTTCAAACAGTTGTCGCTTAGGCACTACACCTATCCTCCTAGGTTCATCAGATAGTCAATCATTTTCAGGTTTCTCAAGAGGAAATAACATTCCTCGATGTAGGTAATTGGGTAATGTTAACCACCAGTATACCTTGAAGAGTACCCCTATACTATTTGTCGCAATTATGGATGTTTGATAAGCATCCAAACTATTTTTACATAAACTACAATAATGGAAAATAAATTAATTTTAGTCCTATGCCAATTGCTTGAAGATAATATACACACATGCACACACCGAATAAATGCTAATTGATATAATCAAATGAGTTACTCAAGAAAAACTAAGCATGCTTGAAACAAGAAAATGGATTACACACATTTTATATTGTTAGGTTAACGGCTACCAGATTTGAAGTTGTGAAGTGTAAAACGGTAGTGATTACGCAAAAATGTGTCACATACTGCTTTCCTCTACGACAAACAAAATCTTGTTCATGCTGTCACACTTTGTTACATATTATGGAAACTAAGAAAAACCAGTAGAACACTCGGACGTTTTTCCACATTTAATTTTGTTTATCTGTACACATTTCTTCGATGATGAAATATGATCGAAGAACAACAGACAGAGGGAAAAGTATTAAAATATCCGCGAGTGACTACTGAAGATGTTTCAATATGCAAAACGGTTCCGATGTAAATTAACTTCATTTAGACGACAGAATAAAAAGGCAAAATCACAATTGACTTGTGATTTTCGGTCAACATTACTTTCACTTTTAATTCAATGTGATGACTTCTTAGTATAGTATTTGTTTTGTTTTCCAGTATGATATTTTATTCGGTATAATATTAATTTATTTGATTGTGATGCTTATTTAAGATACCATATTCTTGTATTAAATTAACATGAACTATGTTCAGCATGTGATTTTGTTATAATCTTGGGTGTTTTCCATATATGTGATTTAATTCTAATTAATAATCAAAATGGGTTTACAATCAATATATGAGTACATTTTCGACTGTGTCGTCGTGATTTTGGGGTTTATAAATCTTCATTTGCATCAGTCTTAGTGTTCTTACTTTGCGCCGTGGAAATTACAGTGCTTTCTCGTTTTATCAAGTGCAAGTAATAAGCGACCATTAGAAACCAGGAGGGATATAACAGCTGTTTCGCCTTAGTATACGGGTATTCTCAACAACGCACACATGATATCTCCAAGGGTTAAACCAAAGACTTTGAAGCCTTCACGTAAGTATCTAACCTTTGAAGCAATGAAGTGTGGCCAACGATTCATACTTCTAACGTCAGTCAAATTGCAATATATTGACTGACTATATATATGTAATCAACTTGTTCGATACAATGTCGTAATAAAGAGTGAGGTCATGATGCTGTCTATCTCCTATATGATACTACTGATATCAATTAGAATCCACATAAGTAATGAAACATCTCTTTGAAGTTTAATGAACATACGAGGGCTATGAAAATACAGTTAAAAAAATTAACCGAATAAAAACATAGCATCAATATTGATGGGGTATGACATATAATCATGTTATTGTCTATTACGATTACCATGTTATGTAATAATCAGTCAAAACAAATAAACTAAAGAGGACTTCAAGTGGAATTTAGCACGTAAACTTATATAATTGATTTACGTTGTAAACAGTAGTTTTTTACAGAGATTTTGAAGAAAGAAAAAAAGCAGTTAACATCGTCAAATGATATTTTTTAGATTTAGTATATGAGAAGCAGGTAGTTAGTCACCTAAGCATGCGAATTCTGAAACCGCATATGAACTTTAAGATAAAGAGCATTAATACAAAAGAGCGGAAACAGTGTGATAGGAAACAAAGCTAAACAAAGAATATAATTTACACGAAAAGGATTTTGCGGAAACTTTTGATCTATGGACGGTATATGTCACGATTGATTTCAATTCGGGTACCATAGAAAACCAGGGAGAACTGGTAAATTTCGTCCTAAAACAGAGCGCCTAGGTGGTGCACATTCACGACCCAAACAGGGCCTAAGTCTAGGAACTTTAAATGGATATGCATTGTGGAAGAGTCCCATAACAGAACAAAACAGTCTAGTGCTTTCTGGTTTTCAATAGCAAATAACTTTTACAAATAGAGAATTTATTTAGAAATAAGTGAAATTGAGGAATCTAAGCAGATTCAAGAAAATACAAGGATTTAAGTTCAACTGGAAGAGAAAGCTAAATAAATAAATATGAACCGCTACGAACAATTTAAAGTCATCTAAGATTTTTATTCGGTAATTACGATTATTCTGTAGGCTCCAAACCAATAAGTTTGTCGCTTCTGTTGATTTACCATTTATGTAATTTTAGAGAAAACTTTCAAGCTGCTATGATATAATCAATACATTTAACTTTTTTAGGTAGTCGCACATCAACTCTTAACCTGATATACGTTATTTTAGTTAATAATGTGGAAACAATTTACGAAAAATGTCCGCTGATATTTTCAATCTGGATCTCACTTTCTCAATACTCTTCTCCTAGAAATAAGAAAAACTACAAGTTGAATCCTGCCGTGAGCAGGTGAACATTTAACTGATCAACGGAGAATTAGGAAGAAACAAATGTCCTGCATTTTACTATTCGCCATCATTCATCATGAGTTGAAGAATCATTGAAACTCACGGTAAATACATGTAAGATAAATTGTAGATGCTTTGGTGAGTTATGAACGGTAGAGTTTAGATATTTCAGGAGTACGATGGATCTTATCCATGAGACTGGGTGATGGTTGTGAAGTCGTAAATGCAGACCAGTGAATCCTAATACTGGTATAAAAATACCAATGTTTTCTGAAAGATCTGAACGACCTAGAATCGATGGCGAGACTGTAATTTATACGGGAATCAATGAAATCAAAGATAGTGTAATGAACAGAAACTCAAGTGAGGGACAACCAATTTACTATTTCATACAAAATTATAGAATATCTTCGCAAAATTTGAGAAACATACATTAAATACTTCACTTGTAAATCTTTCATTCATTATTCTTCACATTTTGTATGATTCTTCCAGTTTACAATTCATCTCTATTTCCCTCTTTGTTTACTTCAACTCGGTCTTCTTAGACTTCGGCAGCCAGATTTTTCACATCCGGTTGGTGTTACATACTACTTATGTCTGTCGATGAGAACTTTATTCATTTATATGGTAAGACAGCATTTTGGCATTATATCTGATGTTAATTGGTAAAGAAAACTCGAAATCTAATTTCAAACTTCAAACACCAATCCTGATTTCTCACCCTCGTTTTACGCTAGTTACTTACTTACGCCTGTTACTCCAAATGAAACATAGGCCGCCGACCAGCATTCTCCAACCCACTCTGTCCTGGGCCTTCTTTTCTAGTTCCATCCAATTCTTGTTCAGTTTTCTCATGTCTATCTCCATTTCCCGGAGTAATGTGTTCTTTGTTCTTCCTCTCCTCCTTCGACCTTGAGGATTCCATGTGAGGGCTCGTGTTGTGACGCAGTTCGGTGCTTTCCTCAATGTGTGTCTTATCCACTTCCAGCGCTTCTTCCTCCACTGGGATCTGGTTTGTTCTCTCCTACAGTAGGTTGTTGCTAATAGTGTCCGGCCAACAAATCCGAAGTATTTTGCGTAGACAACTGTTAATAAACACCTGTATCTTCTGGATGATGGCTTTCGTGGTTTTCCAGGTTTCGGCCCCATACAGTAGAACTGTCTTCACATTTGTATCGAAAATTCTGACCTTTGTGTTGTTTGCCAATTGTTTTGAATTCCAGATATTCTTCAGTTGTAAATATGCTGCTCTTGCTTTGCCGATCATTGCCTTCACGTATGCACAAGATCCATCGTGTTCATCAATGATGCTGCCCAGATATGTAAAGGTTTTTCATCTTCCAAGTCTTCTCCGTCAATTGTGGTTGGATTGGTGCATGCTGTGTTGTATCGGAGAATCTTGCTTTTCCCTTTGTATATTGAGACCTATTGCTGCTGAGGCTGCTGCTACACTGGTTGTCTTCTCCTGCATTTGTTGTTGTGTTTGCGATAGAAGAGCCAGATCATCTGCGAAATCTAGATCGTCTAGCTGTATTCTAGCTGTCCA